ATGTCCACACAAAAATCTGCACATGAATGTTTATAGCAGATTTATTCACAATTGCCAAAATGTGGAGGCAATCACAGTGTTCTACAGTAGGTGAATGGGTAAACAGTGGTATATCTGTGCAACAGGATATTTTTTGTAATAAATACAAAGGAGCTATGAAGCCACAAAAAGACATGGAGGAAACAAATGCATATTGCTTAATGAAAGAAGCCAACTTGAGAAGGCCACATGCTCTATGATTCCAACTACATGGCATTCTGGAAGAGGTAAAAAGTCAGTGGTTGCCAGTGCCTTGGGGGTTGGGAGGGAGGAATGAACAAGTGGAATACAGGGGATTTTTAGGACAGTGAAATTATTCTGCATGATACTGTAATGTTAGGTACATGATATTATACATTGCCAAAGCCATTAAATGCACAACACAAAGAGTAAACCAGAATATAAACTATGGACTCTAGTTAATAAGGGTGTATCAGCATTGGTTCACCAATTGTAAGTAATGTACTGCACTAATGCAAGATGGTTGTAGTAGGGGAACCTAGTGGGGGGTATATGGGAACTCTCTAGACACTCTTTTTGTGTAAACTTAAGACTTTGAAAAGTAAATTCTATTAGTTAAGAAAAAAGATTGTGAACATTGAACCAGAATGCTCATGTTCAAATTCCAGCTATATTATTTCAAGGTGACTGACTTTGGGCAAGCTACTGAACTTTCTTGTGTCACAGTTTCCCTTCTTTAAAATGGGGATAATAATAGGACTTACAGGTATGTTTTGCAAAAAAATGTTAGTATATGTAAATCATCTAGGACCATGCTTGGCACATAGTAAGTCCTATATAAACATAAACTATACTCATTTAATCCTCAAAACAACTAATACCATTTTGCAGATGGGGTAAATATCATGTTCAAGGCTAAATTAGTAGTAGCAGAACAAAAGTTTGAATCCAGGTTCTGTCCAAAGCTTATGTACTATATACCCTGTCTTTCCCTAATGTGTTTATGAGCACATACCAAGCTCCTGGGTAAAATAGGAAATCCATGTTTGTAGTAGAACATTACATTTAACCTACAACTTACGTGACTTGATGATGTTTCAAAATAAAGGAATTGAAAATGGTAAGTTGGAGTGATGTCAGCAAGATGGTGGAATAGGAGGTCTCCCCTTGTTTTCCCCTTCAGCAACAACAATTTGGAAGCCATCCATGGGGATTATAAAATCCCAGTGGAGTCCAATTCCCAGGAGCACCATTTTGAAAAGGCAGGCTCATGTGCAGGGGGCAGACTTGCCAACTGTTGTCCTGACTGTGGACCGGAAACATCCCTGTCCCCCTGTGGACTGTGTTATGGTCCCATATGGTTTCGATCTTGCTACCAACCCTATCTGCCTAGGAGTCTTGTAGGAGTAATGCCTGCCTGTGCCTGTTGTGACATCCACAAATTCTGCCCCGTCTATGGATTCCAAAGTAGCCCGTGACGTAGCTTTGCCCCTCTTAGCCACCATCCTTGTCCACCCGGAGACCAGGAGGAAGACACACCTGTCTGGGCCTGAGGCAGGCCCTCCAACCTTCGCCCAACTGCAGATCCTGAAATGGCCCAGTAACTTGGCTCCAGCCACTCTCAGCCATGGTCTGAGAATACTCCTACTAGGAAACATGCTTGTCCACACCCCCGACGTAAGCCCACTGAGCGGGGTCTGTCTGTGTATCTGGAGGCAGCCATGTAATCTGGCCCCAGGCCCTCACAGCTACAGTCTGGGAACAGTCCCAGAGGGAGACACTCACCCATGTACCTGTAGGCAGGCCTGCCAACCTTGGTCTGACTGTGGCTCCTGAAGCAGCCTGTGACCTGGCTTAAGCCCTCCTCAGCCACGGCCTGGGCCAATCCTGTCCACCTAGGAATTGGTAAACTGCTAGGAGACCAGTGAACTGTCAGGAGCCCTTCCAGAAACCTGGAGGGAGCCAGTAATACCCAGTGTAATACCAGTGACACTGGGTAACATCCAGTGCCACCAGCTGCTACCCAGCGGTGCCTCCATTTCACATTTGGGGTGTTAGAGGCATGCAGCTGGTAACAGACAGCCCCAGTCGTGAACCCAGGTGTCACATTGTTGGTTTTAATTAGTTAAAAAGTGATCCTCTCATACACATAAGATAAATATTAATGGTTACAGGATTAAAAATGTAAAAATTATGAGTCATAATCAGGACATAAAGAGGAGATTGGATAATGGATAAAGTGACTAACTGAAATCAAATGGGGACATATAAGCTAAAGCCATCTATAAAGTTACAAGTAATGACAGAAATGTTTTGACTATAATTTCGGATTGAATTGTATCCTCACAAAAGGTATGTTAGTATCTTAGCTACTGATAACTGTGAACTTGATCTTATTTAGAAATAGGGTTTTTGCAGATCAATTCAAATTAAGATGAGGTCATGCTGATTTTGAATGGGCCTTAATCCAATGTGACTTTTGTCCTTATAAGAGGAAAGTAAGCACAGATAGCCACAGTAGTGAACACCACGTGAAAACGGAGGCAGTAACTGGAATGATACATTTACAAGCCAGAAATGCTAACAGCAGACACTGGGAGAGGGTCATGGAACAGATCTCTCTCTTAACCTCCAGAATGAACCAGCTCTGCTGGCCCATGGATTTCAGACATCTTACCTTCAGACTGTGAGAAAATTAATTTTGTCCAAGCACCAATTCATATTTGTATGCAATATGTTTATATAATACCCTCGGACAGCATGGGTTTGAACTGCACAGATCCACTTATACACAGATGTTTTTCAACAAATATATTGGCAAATTTTTTAGAGATGAAAAAAAGCATATTCTCTCTGGCTTACTTTATTGTAAGAATACAGTATATAATACATATAAAAAGTATGTTTGTGATCTATAAGGCTTCCAGTCAATGGTAGGCTATTAGTAGTTCAATTTCAGGGAGTCAAAAGTCATGCATGGATTTTCAGCTGTGTAGAGGTCCAGCTCTCCTAACTCCTGCATTGTTCAAGGTTCAGCTATATATCATTCACACACACACACACACACACACACACACACACACACACACACACACACAAACTCCCCACACTCACAGTGGATCCGTGGATCCTATGGACAAAAAACTCTGCAAATGGCTGCTGTTGCTCAAAGTATCATGGATATATCTTCATTTCCATTTTCGTAGATTTTTCTTTCTTTTAACTAGATGATCAGTATTCCAAATATATATCTTAATTCATGTAACCATGCATAGGTGGAAATTAACTAAGTCTTTTTTTTTTCTTTTTGCAGTTACAGACACTATTGCAATACTATCTTTGTAAATAACTCTTTGCACACTATGCTGGTCTACCTATGGAGATAAGGTTTAAGATATAATCTATTTATAGGATAAAAAGAACTGGCATGCCAAAAGGGATATGCATTCTCAGTTTGGTGCAATATACAGAAATACCCTCCAGAAAATGTAATACCAGTTTGTACTCCTACCAACAATGACTGAGATGGGGGCTGTTATTCAACACTCTCATTAACAATGAATGTTATTCAAAGTATTAAGAGTTATCAGTTTGAAAGAATAATACGATTTTTGCTTTCAATTCTTGAGTTTTTTGGGGGGTAAGTTTTTTGAATCTGTATTCCTATGTAGTGTCTCTATTACATTTTGGTATAATTGTTATTTAAGCATTACATATTTAACTGTAACTTCATCTATTTTTGTCTTTAATTCTCCCTAAAAATTTATATACCATTACAGTATTTTTAACTTTGCCAATTTGAATGAAGTCACTTATTAAGCTTGCTTAGTTCAGTGCCAGATATCACTTTGATTAAAAAATTAATTAAATATCCATGAATTTGTCTTATGCCTTCTGTCATTTTTGTGACTCATGTAGTGCATTTCATGCAGATTTTAATACTGAACCTGATGTAGTATTAGCACATGTGTGTGTGTGTATAAACATATACAAAGGCATATTTTCATACATACATATTAGATGAAGAAACGGCTTTTTGGAACTTGCATATTGTTACAGCATGTTTCAAAAAGGGAAAACTGAAGATACATAAGAGAGTGGGGTACATGACAATGGCAAGGTTTAGACCTTGTTTAGACTAGAGTAGACAGGATCCAGTGCATGGGTCCACAGGCTGATCCCAAGTAGGACTCTTATCAATCACTCTTATAGAAGGAAAACCTGAAGATACAGTCACCAGTATGCAAGGGTTGGTCAGTGTGGTGTTAAGACTGTAAAGAAGGTCTTTTCTGAAAGTGCCAATTTTCTTGGTAAAGTAGGTATATGATCAGCTAAATATGAGGAGGGAGAAGAAAGTATTTGAACCACCCCCTAAACATGAGTACTAAGAATATGAATATGGCAAGTTGGTATTGAGCTTTCAGGGCCATTTTCTGAATTAGTTCCCTATGTGTATTAACTTCAATTTAAAAGTTAATACCAATCTTTTATAAGTCAATTTTAGTAGAAAAATATTCCAGAAAGATAGTGCCAATTTTTGACACTAACAACCTTTTGTAATAAAGTTTAATAGTTTACACATTAAATGTTTAAAGGAAAGTTCATGCTTAGGATACTATAGAAAACAAAATATTTGTTTAATGAAGTAATCAATAGAGTGCTAAAAAGTGACTTAGGGAGAAAATATTTAAGAACAGTCACCCAAGACCAATATGTTTTCTGAAAGCTGATAATCACCCTACTATTTGCCTCATTTTCTTAATTATTATAAGAAAGCTTTTTAAAAATTACCATTTTAATGGAAATTTTGAAACCATTTCCTTGAACTTCCCATTAAATTGTTCTGTACTACCATCAGGTTTAGTTCTGATACTAACACTTAGAATTTATATTTGGCTTTTGTTTATTATTTTCAAACTAGAACTACTTTAATACATGAAACTTCTACCCTTTCATTTTAATCCCTGGTTAATCTGACATCTTGTACCTATGTGTTGTAGGTGCCATTTCATTTTCTGTTAAAAGCAGAAAAAATTATTCCCAGGAATATTCAGATCAAGGTCAAGATCAACGTAATCAAGATCAACTACCCTCCGGTCACAAAACAGTATCCCAACTATCCAATGAGTTTCATGAGGAAGACTCAGGTAAATGGATTCTAAAGAATTTCACGTTCAATTCTCACAAATTTGCATTCATTTTTAAATCACTATATATGTTTACATTCAGAATACATGTACAAATGTGTGTTGTATGTATCTGTAAGAATTTTATTGTATTATTTCATGAATAACTTTATGTAGTTTCCTTTCTGGGTTCTGTTATTGCTATTAATAGATTATAATACTTCCTCTTGAAGGCTGCCTACTCTTATGAAAGTGAAAACATATATATAGTTGTTACTAAAAAATTACACAATTTCTGATAAAATGTTAATGAGTGTATTAACAATGCTTTGAACGTGCTTTTCTTACTTCACCATAGGAGGTATTAGCAAGCTTCTTTATATGCAAAGGAAAGGAAAAGCTATTGTTTTCCCTTCCTATATTATACAGCTTTATTTGAATGTGGTTAAGCATCATATCTTTTTAGTGGAAATTCAAAAGAAAATGAGATGCTGGAGAGTTGGAATAGGCAAGGCAGATTTCCTGAAGAATGGGTGAATGAGTTCTCTCATCGGTGAGTAGCAGGGACATAGACGGCATGAGAGAAAAGTGGGTCACCAGGAGCAAAGCTGTGGAGACAGAAAGGAATATCAAAAAAGAAACCTTCACTGAGAGAATTTGTATTTAGTCAGGATTCTTCTGGGAAACAGATACTAATATAAGANTGATTGTGGGGTCTGGCAAGTCCAAAATCTTTAGAGCAACCAAGCAGGGTAGAAAATTAGGTAAGGGCTGCTACTGCAGTCTTCGGTCCAAATTCCCCAGGGCATCTAGGCAAACTGCAAGCTCAGGCTTGGTTTCCAAGTTTCAGTCTTGACCAAGAATTGCTTCTTCTTCAGGTAATCTCAGTCTTTGCTTTGAGGCCCTCCAACTGATTGGAGGATATACACCCACATCATGCTGGATTTGTAATCTGCTTTACTCAAAGTCTACTGTTTTAAGTGTTCACATTTAGAACAAAAAATACCTTCATACCAACATGTAGACTGTTGTATAGCTAAACAAGTGGACACTATAGTCAAGCCAAACTGTCACATAAAATTAACCATCACAGAATACATGGATTAAGAGTGGGCCTTAGGCACTATTCAAAATGGTTTGGAAAGGGAAGAGAAGTTGGATCCAATTAGGCCACTGCCAACAGCAAACTGGGTTTGAAGTGAAGAGAACAGTGTCTTTTGCGGTGGTGATGGAGATCGACAAATACCACTAAAGATGGAAAACATGTCAGAGACTAGCATTAGATGACTCTTTTAAGAGAGGAGACAGAGAGGACTGATTCCAGATAATAACAAGGTTGGTTTGTATCTTGGTGAAAAGAAAAATATTAAGATAGTGATTTAAAAGTGTTGTGGCTTTGTTAAATTAACATTTGTTAAGTAGAGCCCCAGGGTGTCAGATGGTGAGTCAAGGAAAGACCACAGGGAAGGTGAAATAGAAAAGTTTATTACTCACAGGTCCTGGTGAATGCACATGCCTTCCCTCAAGAGGCCGCACCAGGAGTTTAAGGCAGAGTAAGCAGAGGGCCTGGAGCACATGCCTTTATTAGCATCCTCAGGTAAAGTGCTCTGGGGTTCCTGGGCCAAGGCTGGATTGGTCAATTCAAACCAACAAGAGTGGACTTTTGGTATGCTTCATGGGGGCTTTTTCTAAGGGGTGTACAAGCAGAAGGTCCTAGAATGTAGGTTAGTTGGGGAACAGTTGGAGGAGTCAAATTGGGAACTTAACATTTACTTGTGACTCTGCTGGGTTGTTACTTAGGGCAGGCACCCTGGGAGGAGCTAGTGCCGGTTCAAGGACCCTGCAAGCACCTTGGCCATAATGGATATGGAAGCAGGAATATTATGGCATTGTTTAGCTAAACTCAACAAGAAGAAAAAAAATGTCTGGAAGATTATAATGCTTAGTATGGGTTTGTACTTGCTGATTTTGATGGAACAGCAAAAAGACATTTGCATGGCAAAACCCAGTCATCATCTGAATATTTGGAGCTGAGACAAGATGAAAAAAATAATAAAACGGGTTGTAAAGATTTATGTTTTTTTCAGTTGAAATCATACCGGTGAGGCCAAAGAGTAGATGACTGTTGTAGATGGATTATGCTAGTTAAACCCTCATGTAAATCTAAGGCAAAAGAGTCATGAAGGAAAACCAGGTTTCTAAAAGTACTTTAGGAGAGTTTGAAAGGAAATCAGAATTATTATGGTGTCATGTTAATAGGGTAAACCGGAGTGATATCTAAAAAAAAAATCTGATCTACTTGATGGCAGGTTACAAGATAAATTAAGAACTAGGAAAAAATGCATCAATAACATTATAGGCATTCTCATTTCTTCAGACAGGCCTTCTCATATCCCTACACAGGATTAACTTTTTCAACCCCTACAATACCATGAGTCTTTCTCTTACTGATCACTCAGCAGTACATTTCTTTTCAATTAGGGAAGTTTCAGATATGCAAAATGAGTAAGTTTTGGAGCTCTAATATACAGAAATGTCATTATAGTTAACAGGACTGTATTGTATACTTGAAATTTGCTTAGAAGGTAGATCTTAAGTGTCTTCACCACCACCACCCTCCCACCAAAAATGGTAACTTTGTAAGATAATGGATGATGGCTATATTAATTAGCTTGATTATAGTGATTATTTCACAATGCATACATACATCAAACCAAGTTTTATACCTTAATTATATACAATTTTTAATAGTTACACTTCAATAAAACTGGGACAAAAAAGAAACGAAAAAACTAGAGAATTATTTTAACCTCCCAAATAGGTATGAAAAATAATGGTAAAACTCAGTTTTATTGATGGTCAGATTGAAAGAGACAATCTTATGCATTATAATGGGATTTTGAATTAATAGATGTCAAGAGTATTTACAATATGTTTGAAACTTTTAAGAATTGTTTATCCCCTTTGATCCAATCATTTCAGTCTATGGTACTTGTTGGAATAAAATAATCAAATATAAGCACACGGAGTTTTATATAAGAATGTTCCTTATGTGATCTATTCCATTGAATAATTGAAATTCATTTTTATAATTTTTAGATTTTATTTAAAATGTTTTTGAATGTGTACTACCTGCATATAATGTTTTTTAATTGAAGAATAGTTGACATATATCACTAAGTTTAAGACATAGAGCATAATGGTTTGATTTATATATATTGTGAAATGATTACCATAATAGGTTCAGCTGACATCCATCTTCTCATATAGATACAATAAAAAGGAAAGAAGAAAAGGAAAAAGGAAAAAAATATTTCCCCTTGTGGTTGGAATGCTTAGGATTTCCTCCGTTAATGACTTTCCTATGACAGCAGTGTCAATTATCATCATCATGTTATCTGTTACACCCTAGTACTTATTTATCTTAGAGCTGGAAGTTTGCATCTTCAGACCACCTTATTCCATTTCCCCCTCCCACTACTCTCCATCTCAGGTAACTGCAAGTCTGATCTCTTTTTGTATGAATTTGGAGTTTTTTTTTTTTTTTGGTTCCACATATGAGTGAGGTCACACAGTATTTGGCTTTCTCTGTCCAACTCATGTCACTTAGCATAATGCCTTCAGGGTCTATTCATGTTGTCACAAATGGTAGGACTTCCTCATTTTTTATGGCTGAATAACATACCACCGTGTGTATATATATATATCCACCCGTCCCTTGATGGACACTTACATTATTTCCATGTCTTACCAAATGTCAATAACGCTGCTATGAACATGGGGGTGTAGATATCTTTTTGAGTTAGTGTTTTCATTTCATTTCCTTTGGATATATTTCCAGAAGTAGAATTGCTCAATCATATGGTAGTTATAGTTTTAATTTTTTATGGATCCTCCATGCTGTTTTCCATAGTGGCTGTATCAGTTTACATTCCCACCAGTAGTACCCAAGTTCCCTTTTCTCCACATCCTCACCAGCATTTGTTATCATTTGTTATCTCGTCTTTCTGATGATAGTCATTCTAACAGACATGAGGTAATACCACATTGTCACTTTAATTTGCATTTCTCTCATTATTAGTGATGAAACTTAAAATTTAGTAACTCATATTCTCTGAATGATAGAAATGTATAAATATACACACTCATTTACTAATATATTAATTACATATAATTTTTGTATTCAAAATAGTGTATTTATATACATCTATTTGTAGCTAGTATATATGTGTTTATTGATATATTAAGCCTGGGATTTTATACAAAAAAAAAATTAAGTAGTTTACCATTGATCAGAGATAATAAATAATTTCTAAGGTTCTTTAAGTTTTTCAGGAATTCTCAAATTTCTATAATGGATGTTACTGATTTTGTAATTAGGAAAAACATTTTAATATATTTAAGGCCTGTAGTTAATGTTTAATAATTATTATTTTTGTTCTTCTTCTAATTTATAAATCATCACTAATCCTACTCTACCTAGTAAATCCATATTCACTGTACATTTTTAGCACTGTAGGAATTAAATCAGTTATATCACAATACTGCCTTATGTGATAGTCTCAGCAGTTACAAATGGTAAATGTTACTATCCCTGTGACAATTAATTTTATTGTCAATTTGGCTAGGTTATAGTGCCCAGATTAGGTCAAACATTATTTTGAATGTTTCAGTGAAGATGCTTTTGGATGAGAATTACATTTAAATCTGAGTACTTTGAGTAAGGAAGATTGCCCTCCATAATATGGGTGGTTCTCATTCAGTCAGCTGAAGGTCTTAGGAGACCAAAGACTGACCTCCTCGGGGCAAAAAGGAATTCTGCCAGTAGACTAGGTGCAGACTCAAACCGCAGCTCTTACCTCGGTCTCCAGCCTACTGGCCTAACATAAAGATTTTGGATTTAGCAAGCCAATTATGTGAGCCGATTTCTTAAAATAAATCTCTTTCTGCCTCTGTCTCTGTCTCTCTCATTACACACACTTGCGTGCATGCGCACACACCTGCACAGACACACACACACTGTTGTTTTTGTCTGGAGAACCCTGATGAAAACACTCACTCTTCCACAGATGGGAAACTGTTTCGCTGCTCTTCGCGCTAACCCAGTCATGGAGCATTCAGTTCTCTTAGTCACAGAGACTCTTTCTCTCCTGAATTGTTTCCCCTGCAAGTTCCATATGAATTAAAGCACTGGGAAAATTTCATAAAATATACATGGGCTGCCTAGAAGATCAAATACTTTTCATTTTAAGAACTTTGGTTAATTTTGAGATGTCACATTTAAACATCATGAGAGCATTAAAGCACTGTCACAGAATTGAAGGAACAGCCAATGCAAATGTAAGTGGCGGTTTCTGCCGAAGTCTAGCATCAATATAAATTTGGTAACTTATACTGTACACGTTAAATAGTTTTGAGGAAATTAACTAGTGTCTGTAAAATAAATAAGCACAGAAGGCAGTTCAAAATGTGGAAGTGACTTTGTCCTGGAGAACTTCTCACGAGTGTTTGGAATAAGAACTCACCCGGACCTCCCTTCTCTCTCTCTCTGTCTCTCTCACTAGCTGACTGTTCTCAGAGTCTGAATTGTTCTCAGATTCACTAATTTGACAAGTGTTTCTTAGTAACTAAAGAATTAGAATAGGGTAGAATACATTACATGTATTAAATTATAAATACATTAAATTAAATTACAGAATACAAACACTACAATATGGTACAAAACAGTGCAGTGCGGTGCAATGAAATACAATAATTTTCTAATTATTGTGATTGTGGGGAAGGAAGAATAATTCTCCCTCTACCGTTCTATGTTCTTGATTGAGACTCCCCTGTAACAATAAAAAACTCACATTAGCAGGAGAAAATCAAACAAGTTTAGTAATGTGTATATAAAAGGTATATATTTAGGAGAAACCTAGGAAAACAGTAACTTTCTGAAAAGGCCCTAGTCACTGCCTTAAATACTATCTTCAGCTAAAGACAAAAGAAGGATGTTGGGGTGGGGAGAAAGTTATGGGACTGACCAGAAAAAGCACAGTAAAAAAAAGGTAAGGTTGTTATACAGATTTAAGGCATTACCTTCTCCATTGGTAAGCTTCTCTAGGGATTTAGAGTTATTCTTCTCTAACTGGTACAGAGACACCCTCACAAATGTTGATTGCCCTTATACCTGTAAATATCTCTTTAAAAAGGGGAACTTCTACTATAGTTTCAGAGCTTCTCCTATGTCTGCAGTTTCTTAAAATTAATCAGCTCAAAATAATCCTTATGCCAAAGAGGCATATTTTGGGGTAGCAAATTCTGCTTCCCTTTACCATGCAATGCAACAATACAATACAATGGCATTCAATGCCTTATAATGCAATGCAATGTAATGCCATGCAAAACAAAAGTCTCTATTTCAGAAGAGAGGGACTGAAAATTCCACTACTCTGGGCCCCTAATCTCAGATAAGAAACTGAGGCCTAAAGAGGCTAGTGATTTACCCAAGTAAGTTAATCAAACAACAGTTTTTGGAATCTTTAAAACACAATAATACTGATGTGAATATGCTTACAATTAACTGAAACTGGAGGACCTCTCAAACCATAAACTAGTTCAACACTAAAGAATAAAGAATATCAAAGTGAGAAGCTGAACAGATGAGAACAAACGGAAAAAACATGGGTTTGATGCCAGTAAAAACCCTGCTACACAGGGCTATTGTAGTGGACTGGGATTCCAGTTTCAGGCTTTGGGAGTATGACCTTGGGCATCATCAGTGGCAGACATGCCTGCTTTTTAAAAAATATTAAGAATCCAGTTGTAAACATTATTTTCTCACTACTCAGTCTATGCCTCAGTCCAGATTTCTTTAGGCTAAATTGCTAGGATCCTTTTTCACACTCCTAAGAATCCAGAAATCTCATGAACTATACCTGATTTTGTCCTTAGATTGGATTCTTGTGGTACTGGAAATGTACCATTGTGGACTGTTATGCTCTAATATTTTAATATTGTTACATGCAATATGTGGATGCTTTGTCAGTTCGTGGAAAAATAGATTGCTTATTTATGTTGAAATATTGGTCCTTAATTTAAAAGTAAAACCTTCTTATTTTAGTGAGGAACTTAATGAGTTATTAGAGTAGGCATGGGGCAGGGAGCTCTCACAGGGCATTCTCATGACCCTGCAGGATGGGGCTTCTCTTATCACTCACATACTCTGTTAAAATCAGCTTTTACCCTCCCCTCAGCTCTTTTGACAAATGAATCCATCAAAAAGATTTTGAAAATTATGTCTGTTCATTTCTCAGTTTTTTATGTTAAATATGTATTTTGAAGCCTGTATTAAGAAGTGCTATTTTATTTTTCAGGTGATGATATTAGCAATTTAAGAATCTGGTATGATCTTGAGATCCATAGCTCTCCCAGACCACCAGCAAACATCATTGAGGTGAAATGTATTGCTCTGGTAAGAACCCACTAAACATTCATTGTCTGTCTTTTTTGCACAATTAGAGCTTTTGTTGTATACTTAAATTGCTCTCCCTAAAAATATCCATATTAAATGAGTTTAGTGGGATAAATTATTCAAATTATAGCAATTTTATTTCAAATTCAGTAATATGGGCCTTAAATGCTTATGAAAAACATCTTTTACTTACATAATGTCTTGAAGTAGCTGCTTCAATTAGCATTCTACCTGCATGTTTCAAGACTTACTAGAGCAAGGTGAGAGACCTATAGTTGAAAACTGTAAAACATTGATGAAAGAAATGAAAGATGACACAAATAAATGGAAATGTATTCCATGCCCATGGATAAGAAGAATTAATATTGTTAAAATGGCCATACTACCCCAAGCAATCTACAGATTCAGTGCAATCCCTATCAAAATTCCAAAGGCATCATTCACAGAACTACAGCAAGTAATCCTCAAAATTTGTATGAAACCACAAAAGACCCTGAATAGCCAAAGTAATATTGAGAAAGAAGAACAAAGGTGGAGATATCACACACTCCCTGATTTCAAACTGTACTACAGTGCTACAATAATCATAATAGGGTGGTACTGGTACAAAAACAGACATAGATCAGTGTAACAGAATGGAGAGCCCAGAAATGAACCCACACTTATATGATCATTGAATCTATGGCAAAGGAGGCAAGAATATACAATGGGGAAAGGATAGCCTCTTCAATAAATAATGGTGGGAAAACTGAACAGCCATATGCAAAAGAATGAAATAGGATCACTATCTTATAGCATACACAAAAAAATACTTGAAGTGGATGAAAGACCTAAATATAAGACCTGAAACCATGAAACTCTTAGAAGACATAGGCAGTAAACTCTTGAACATCAGCATCAATAACTTTTTTCTGGCTACATCTCCCCAGGCAAAGTAAACAAAGCAAAAATAAGCAAGTGGGACTACATGAAACTAAAAAGCTTCTGCACAGCCAAGGAAACCATTGACCAAATGAAAATCCAACCTACTCTATGGGAGAACATATTTACAAAATAGTATGTCCAATAAGGGGCTAATATCCAAAATATATAAAGAATTTATACTCAATATCAAAAAATTATAATATGATTTTTAAAATGGGCAGAGGACCTGAATAGACATTTTTCCAAAGTGGACATGCAGATGGCCAACAGACACATGAAAAGATGCTCAACATCACTAATCATTAGAGAGATGCAAATAAAAACCACACTTGAGATATCACCTTACACAGTAAAAATGACCAATGTCAAAAAGCAAGAAATAACAAGTGCTGGCAAGGATGTAGAGAAAAGGGAAACCTCGTACACTCTTGGTGAGGATGTAAATTGGTGCAGCCACTATGCATATTAGCATGGCGGTTTCTCAGAAAACTAAAATAGAAATACCATATGACCTAGCAAATCCATTTCTGGGAACTTATCCAAAGAAAACAAAAATCACTAATTCAAGAAGCTATATGCACCCACTATGTTTATTGCAGCATTATTTACAACAGCCAAGATTTGTGAACAACCTAATTGTCCATTGATAAATGAATGGAAAAAAGAAGGTGTGGTACATATATATGATGGACTATTACTAATCCATTAAAAAGAATGAAATCTTGTCATTTACAACAACATAGATGGACCTAGAGGGTATTATACTAAGTGAAATAAGTCAGAGAAAGACAAATACCATATGATTTCACTGATATGTGGAGTCTAAAAACAGACAAAACAGAAAAAGACTCATAAACATTCAGAACAGTTACTCATTGCCATAGGGGTGGAAGATGGGGGAATGGGTGAAATACATGATGAGGATAAGGAAGTACAAACTTCAAATTATAAAATAAATTAGTTATGGTGAAGGAAATACAACATAGGGAATATAGCCAATAATATTATAAATTCTGTGCATGTTAATTGATGGTAACTACACTTACTGGGCTGAGCATTTAGTAATGTATAGAGTTGCTAAAGCACTATGTTGTACATCTGAAACCAATGTAATATTGTTTTCAACTGTATTTCACTAAAACATATTTTGAAAAAGCAAATATCATTAGGGTATTTAAAAAAGTTACTAGAACAAACTTAACCTTAGCCTACATGCTTGCCCTCACACTTATGATAAAGGTAGGCATATGCTCTCTAGATCGTAGATTACTGTTTCAGTACTGACTGTTCCTGGTTTCCCACAGGCCTTTCATTTTGAACCATATTTAGTGCAACTGGCATACATCTGGAGTATTAAATAATAGTAACTGTGGTTAAAATTGTAATATTTCCAGAATCTCTTGCCTGGCTTTACTGCATCTGCATATCAATAAGTGTTTCCAAGGGGTGGAGAGCAGTGGTCAATCCACATATCAATAGGTGATTACAGGGGGAGCCAGGGCGTATCTGGACAGGAGAGGTTGGGTGGAGCTCTCCTCTGCTGCAGCCTGGTCAAGGGAGAGATGGGATGACTGCTTGTAAGAAATACAAGGGTTTCTTAACTTTCTCTCTTTGACTTGGGTTTTAGAGATATTTTGCCCCAGGCTTTTCCCCTGGAGTTACAGTAACTAAGAATACGATTATTTTATGTGAATTATTAAAGTATTACTAAATCCATGTCCAGGATTATTTAATAAAGTTAAGTGTTGAGAGTCTTGATTTAAATGAAATGTGAAGACAGTATTAATTGCTATTAATCATGTTTTAATTCGATCTAATTACCTTATTGTTAGTACTTGTTAGGGAGGAAGAATTTGCTCTACCCTTCAAGGTTCTTCTATCTGGTCTAAGAATGAAATTGACCTGAGACAGATTAACAGGAGAAAATCAAACTAAAGTTCAATAACATGTGTGTCTGCAATACATATGGGAGAGACCCAGGAAAACAGTTATCTCCAGGAAATGGCCAAAGCCACCACCGTAAATCCCATCTTCAGGTAGAGACAAAAGATGTTGGTGGTGGGGAGTCAGTTATGAGAAGTGACCAGAAAAAGCACAGTAATCAAAGGTGTGGTCCTTACCTAGATTTAAGTTGCTGTCTCCTCCAATGATAAGTCTCTAGAGATTTAGACATCCTTCTCTTCCTGATAGAGAGGGAGATAGCCTTACAAATGGAGATTTTCCTTATACTTGTAAATGACTCTTAGGAAAGGGTACCTTCCACTCAGTCTTTAGAGCTTCTGTCGTGTCTGCAGTTTCCTAAAAATAATTAGCTTAAAATAGTCAATATCCCAAAGAAGCCTGTGTTGCGGTGGCACAGTTTGCTCCCCTACACTTCTGTAGGTACAGCGACAGGCAGGTGGCAGTAGTAGATGAATGAGAACATGTTTCTAGTTTACAGCTGTCTACCTGGTTCCTCTGAGTTCTGAACTACAGGCACTGACTTTTCAATTTGGGAAAAGTCCTCAAACAAATTTTAGTTATGACTTCCTCTGAATTACAGTGTACATTCAAAAATACCCTTTATGGACTTGATAATGGTTTCAAATGGAATAAGGTTAAAATTGGAGATTTCCTCAATAATATGCCTTACTTCAATTAATGTATTGTGTGTTTTGGACCTCAGAAATAATCCCTTTATAAAGAGCTCATGATTATCTTCTGGGAGAGGATGTAGTGAAGAATACTTGCTGCTAGTGCATATTGAATTGTCATTAACTCAATTAGGTTTTTGTGGGCAAAAAGCATAATCTTTATTTACTCTAATCCAGCGAAAGCAGGAAACAATGAAGTTTTCAGCACAGTTACTCAGTGAATTAAATTTTTCCTGTTCAGAGAAAGTGTGAACAGCAACCAAATGATAGAGCTAACCCACCCCCTGATCTGAGGCAGCTCTCCTTTCCCCGTCACTTTCCTGAAAGAGGGCAGCCTGACTTAACTCATGATTTTTAAATTCCTCTGGAGTCAGATTTTCTTAATGATTGATGAATTTAGTTGAAACTTATGATTATCTAGAATATCAGACATATTAACCATTAGATCTATATACAAACACTAAAGCCTCTACTACATTGTACATTTTATTCTTTAATGAATACTTATTGTCCCTGGCATGCCTGGCACTATTCCACATGCTTAGGAACACTGATTTACTAAACAAACAAGGCCCCTATTTCAGGGAACTAGCATTCTTGCAGAGTTTGGCAGAAAACAAAAATAAAATTGAAATGTGCTACTTTACTGGAGGTTTCCCTGTTGTCTTAGCTATTCAAGTAAAGACACAAACCTGAGAGCCATAGATAAGCCCTCTCTCCATGTTATAAAAGGCACTGCTATGCCATTTATTGGAACTTACTCAATGTATCAAGGTATTTCTAGTTTAAGTAACAAACGCCAGAATTTCAGTGGCTTAACACAATAAAAGTTTTTAAGAATTGTATCAGTCTCGTGCATTTGTTCCTGGTTGGTGGCTGTCCTCCTCCACTCTGGATCCAGGGGAGGGAGCGGCAGGAGAGAAGATCAGGAAAAAAACATTCATTGGATGTGAGATGAAAGGTTGATTGATTTTGTATTTTAAATATCTGACAATGAGGCTGCTCTAGCATTGGGAGGTTTCCTGAAATGATAAAAGAGGGCAGAGAAAGGGAGATCCTGCCTGGCTTGGAGAGCAGTTGTCAGGGAGTGAAACTATTTTTGGGTTGCAATCCACCATGTTTAGTCCATCCAGCATGCCTGTTACCATGCTGGTAAATGACAGATCGAGTTAGACGGTAATAATGCTAGAAACAAACACAGCCCAGCATTCCACTGAGGGTGGCACAAAGACTGAAGCAGTGCACCCAGGTAGGGGGACTAACAAATGCAGGAGCCCGTGGCATGATGTGAGGCTGGTGGGAAGGGAACCAGGAGGGGGGAGCCCGGGCTCCTTCAGAGAAGAAGCTTGTGAGGCTGGGGCTTGGACAGAAATGGTAGGGGGCTGACTTGCGATGATGGGTGCTGGCGGACCATGTCTTGTAGGACCTCAAAGGAAAAATGAGAGAATTTGTACCATGTGCCATTAGAGGGTGTAAAGAGAGGAATGAGCCGATCTAATTTATGTTTTTAAAACTCAAAATGTTTCTTCTATTTTAAGAAAATAATATATGAAGTAATTTTAGATGCTGAAGATATTTTGTATTTGTTTTAAGGTGAATATAGGTATTCAAATTTCCTCTGAAAAGGTTTATAACTTGGCAAAATTCAATGATCGGTGTAACTCCGGGGAGGGGAAATCCCGGGGCAAAATCTAGCTGAAACCGAAATCAGTCAACGGGAGAAATAAAGTTTAAAACCCGTTTACTGCTTACAAGCAGTCGTCCCGCGTCTCTGTCTCTCCTGCTGCAGCAGAAGCTACCAAATACTCCCCCAACCTCTCCAGTCCAGATAAGCCCTCACTGGCCCATGTAATTTACCCATTGATATGGAGATAGTTACTTCTCTCCCCCCCTTGGAAACACCTGTTGATATGGAGATGCACTAGAGCCGGGCAAGAGATTCTGGAAATATTGCAATTTTACTCACAATCTGTACATATTTTAAAATTGCATTCCAACCTTACCTGAGAATTTGAATTTTTTTCAATATTCTAAATTTCAGCCCCTCAGGAATGCCCTTATGCTTTAAAATCTTTACTTACATTTCACAGGATTAAATACATGTTTATATTTTTAATGTATGTTACATAATGTATATATTATAAATATGTGGCATTTTATTATATATACATTAACTACATATTATAAAAATTTAGTCCTTTTACAAAGGATTCTGAGAAATGGAAGCAATTTCTTTAAACAGTAATTATGTTGGATAAAATATTCCTTAAGTAAAATCAAGAGAATAATACTGGACATGTTATAAAGGAATGCTATCTCTGAACCTAAAGAGGCCACGTGAAGATGAAAGACAGCTTTTAAATCACCATGTACAGTCATTAATATTTGGAGTTTCAAGAAAAACCCAATGAAAATTAATTTATATTTAATTCTAAAAAATCTTATAAAGTCACTCATTGAAGTGGAGACATATGCCATTAGCAAGACGCACAGCAGCCAAATATTTCAGACCTTTTATATATATATTAAAGAATTCACAGACATTCAACTGACTTTTGCTTCTGTTGAGTAAGAGTCATTTATCATAAAATGGAATAGAGGTGGCAGGATACCTTGGACAACAGGACCATTAACCTTTTCTCCAAATGAATTCTTTATACATTTTGTATGTTATTTGCCCAAAATAGTTATGCACTTCTGGATTATGTAGATAATACAAGGGAGGTGTTCCAAGAATAAATTCACAAACTTTGATCATCTCATAAAACGATGAATGACAAAAATTTCTTCTGTTTAAATTGTTAAATGCATCAAATACTTAAGGAATTATATATTTTTTCTGGGGTCTTAAATATAGATAGAATGTTAATGTTCAAATTAATGTCAACAATTTGCTGGTCGATGTATATTTAAAATATTATTCATATAATGTATTTTAAAGGTGTCATTTAGAGATTTTTATGTATTTAAACTTGGAAGAAAATAATATTTAAACCATAGTGAAAACTAGAAATTATTTTTATAATATTATGGTTAAATTACATATGTTTCACTATGCTATAAATACAGCACAGTTAATTGGAAACTTAAAGCTTTTTTCTATAAAGAAACATTCGTGTCCATTGAGTTATTGCTGGTTTTGAGACTTCGAGAATTAGGCTGCAACGATTCTCCAGAGATTGCAGGGCTTGGCATCCATAGGTCCAAGCAACTGATGATTGCCTGGAAGGCTGCTCTTAAAGGATTTTGAGGAGACTTGCCGACCTACTGGGAAAGAGTGGAATGATCAGCAGTGATATTTGTCATGGCTGTGTCAAGGAGGAGCTGTGACACAAGGGCCTCATAGTTGCCATCCCCATTTCTTCTCCTAAGATTCGGCCAACCGTAGAATGTCACAACAAGTTTGTAGCACGAGGGCCTGCCTCTGTTGCATGGCCTGTAGTTCACAGAGGAGGCGGATTTAAGCTGGTTTCCTTTTATTTTGTGTTCAAAGTTTATATGGGTAAGACAAAACAATTCCATATCTCAATACTTTGTCCTTTTCAGACCAGAATTTTTCCATGTACAGATCTCAAAATGTGAGTGAGTCAAAACAAGCATTTTTTTTTAAAGAATTTGAATAGTATGAAAGAGAATAGTAAGTATAAGAGCCTGTGGTAACATTAGGGACTGTTTTGTGAAACTTATTTTTCAATGGTGTGTCATCGACTGATGGTGATGTAAAAGGAATGACTCTGGGTTGTGGTTAAAACTTTTTGAAAATGTCTGGTTTAGATCCTAGGATTTTTTTATACTTCCGTGGAAAAGCTATAGCATTGCCTTAAACTGAGACTGACCTTCTCTGGAAAATATCTGAGTAATAGACCAGGACAAATGTCTAGTCCAAAATATTTCAATTTTCTATCTAAAGATCTGGGCAAAGTTTCTAGGCCAATATGTGGTTGTTGGTATTTGTTATCCTGGCATATTCCTTTGGTATGTTTGTGGATTTGTTTGACTCTTAGAAACATCCTAGGAGGCTAAGTTCTATAAGCATCTCATAAAATATGTCAAGTTGCCTAGGAAATACTAAATTCCATGACATAATGCCATTGTTGGTTTTTTTGCCTTTTATATTTTTATTGTTCCTTCTTTATAATTAAGAGCACTGGATAGTTAACACTCACTTGTTTTAGGAATTCATGATTCTAACATTTCCTGAAACAATAGTAGATGGCCATTTTCCACTACATTTATAATTAAATCTGATTTTTTATAAATAATATCTATCCAATCTAATTGTAAACTTCTGTATTTACTCACTTCCCATCTTTTTTCACCAGATGTTGTTCACGACACTAAATGCTATTTCCATTCCACTAAAATGTAACATTTATCCACTCACATATTTATAGAGGTAATTGGCCAATGTTCATTCCTTGGATAAAGCTATAATGACTGTCTTGAAGATACATTTGTGAATAACTCTCTCCCCATCACCACCTCTCCCCACCAGCTTAGTATCAAGTTTTTTTTTGTCACTCCTGTGACATGATTTGATGAATTTGAAAATAGCTCCATGACCTAATATATATCTGTTACCAAGCTTTTAATGAAGACTGAAATGTCCAACGTTCTCTATTTCATTAGGGTAAGGCATTATAGATAACTGGTCTTTGTTAAGATTGAGATACGTCCTGTGTATTAATCACCTTTAACACAATTATTTCAATTAGCTTTTCCTATAGTGGAGATCATGGCTGTCATGGTTTGTAGTATGTCATTAGTCAGAAAGGGTCAGAATGTGGGACAGGAAGTATCCTGGAACTTCAAGGATGCCTTCCATGGCTGAGTGGAGGTAGCTGGCAGGGGCAGGATAGGAGAAACCAGCAGAAAGGAAGGAATCTAAACAGAAGAGTAGTCATATAACATCATCATAACTTGACTTGTTCAGATTTTCCCTTGTCCTTGATGCTAATGTACAGAGCTATTTCAAGGGTGTCCTCTGAATCAGCAGTAGCAGTCATAACTTTTTAGAAATATGTATTTTCAGGTGCTATCCCAGACCTACTGGATTAGAATCTTTGGGGCAGCCAGTACTCTATGTTTTAGCAGCCTCTATAGGTGATTCTTGTTCTCATCACAGCTAGTGTAAACACTGACAGACAACTTCATAGTAATAATGGTACTGAAGAAAAATGTATTTTAGATGTAACTCTGAAGTTTCCTTAGCATTTAGCTACGTGATTCTATTGGACTATTTGTTGTTTGTTGTAAAAAAAAAAATATTTGCCAAAACTAATCAAGGAAAACATATGAGATGAAAAGTGAGTAGATACATTCAATAGTGGATCAAGGAGAAAAATAAAAGAAATGGCTTTATGTTGGATAAAAGTTTTCTTTGTATATTCTTCCATAAAACAATGACTCTATGCTGACACTAGGAGCTGATTATACATTTGTTTTGTAATTCTAGGAAAGCGTTTGCATTGCAGTTCCTCTCTCTAATCCAAAAAAGGAAATTATTCACCTAGATGTGCAGTTACCGAGTGTCGCCTTTAGTGGACTCAAGGAACTTAAACTGCATCCACTAGAATGCACCAATTATGTTGTGTGGTATTCTCCAGTGACTGTGGGCTGCAGAGATGAAAGGTGTGGTTTGAGTGGAGTGTTCCATTTTATTGTTGATCCTTTGAATGTAAGCTTTTAAAATTATTATTCCTTTGCATACTATCATCATTCACATTACACTTGCTCATAGGGTTAGCTCTGTTTAATACCATTTACTGATAAAATGTACTAATTTAGAGTTGCCATTGTTTTCAGCTGTGTAAAATAATATTTATGGGAATATCAGATTAAATAATTCCTAAATTACTCCTTATATGTCCCATTTCATTTCACTTTTCCCCAACCAAATTTTTTTGGGTGCAAAACCTGAACCAAATAAAAATGATTCCACAAGGACTAGAGGTTAAACTTTCAGTTTTCTTGATAAAAATAAATTTGTATTTTATATTCTCAATTACTTACAAATCCTTGGAGGACATAAAGTAAATGAAATTAAGCATATTACACCATCCTGAATAGCTAGACACTCTTACATACCACAAACATATACCCATACACACACATATATTAGCACAATGACAAGTGTTCTTGTGGTGTGGTAATTATAAGAAACTTTCTTTACATTATATGTTCAATAAATGCACACACAATCACAAAGCCTCTATGCTCCTAATTAAATCAGTTCATTTATAGTAAAATGATCACCTTTATTTTTAAAAGTTTCAAAATATCCCATTTTATTTATTATGGTTTTAAAGACTAAAGTTAGTATTGTATGTACAATACATTCCATTATTCCATGAAAATGCCTTTTGCTAGTTTATGTGCTCTTTCAGAGTTAGAGTAACACTTATTTTAATGAATGATGAGTCAATGAATATATTTGTGAAATTTTAAAGGAGAATAATTTTTATAATGTGGAACTTGAAAGTAGGAATATAACATATTATAAGAGACACTATTTTGATAGATTCCCATTAGAAATGGAGGCTACTCTCCTCTTCCTAAGGTGACTGTAGAAGCTTTGTGAACACAGATTGAATCTTAAATTTTCTTGATCAGCATACATTAAAAGTCATAATTTTGGCTAATATTTATGGCTGCTTACACTGTTATCACTGAGCATGTATTTTACATACATACAGACATAAAATTCTCAAATGAACTGTAAGGATAGGAATGATTGCTCCCATCTTAGACATGTTGACATTGAAGCTCAGCAAGTTAGGTGACTTGTTCAAGGCTGCACAAACGAAAGGTAACAGAACTGGGATACCAGCTCAGTTATAGTGTAGACTGTCACAGGCTCTATCTCTGTTTCCCCCGAAGGTGAGCACATGCTGATTAGAAGGGAAGTTCTCCAGAGCTGCTTATCACTTGATAGCCTTGACATGAAAATATACATGTGTGCAATTCAACAAACTAAATTTGATTAAATCACAGTTCAAAAGCAGGACTTTTCTTGTTATACCTCCTGCAAGATATTTGAATGACACGTAAATGTTTTTCATTGATTCAACAGGCATTTATTAAACAGATGTTAATAATGACAGTTTTTCTTGAATAATGAAGTGATTTTCTCAGCAGAAATAAAAAATTTAAAAATGTATCTACAAGAGCAGAATGTGTCACAGAGCAGTTGTCAAATATTGTATTTGAAACCACCTATTTGGGATATTTTTTCTGCCAAGTTTATTATGCAAACTAAAACCACTGACAAGATGTTGTATATTTCTCTCCACCAGCATTATTTTTCAGCCTGATGTGGCCCTAGAGTTCTGGTATTTGCTGAGATTAACTGTTGAATTACCAAGACCAACCACAATGCCAGAAATACAGTGTGACCTTGGAAAGTAAGTTCTGTATAATAGATACAATTAGTTCATGGAAAAGAAAAATTTATCTAAGAGTATTATTAGGACCCATTTAATCTTTTTTTGATAAGACATAAGTATATATTTAGTAACTGATTTTCCTTTTCCAGGGAAGGTTTGATATTTAAACTACCCTGTGGAAAACTTATGTGAAAGAAAAACAAGTCAGGACTTTGTAAGAAGAGGATTTTATTCAAAAAGATAGTTACAAGGGACTACTGAAATAGTTGGAGCGACCTGTTGCAATAAGGAGAAGGTTCTGATCTCAGAAATCTGCAAGGGTCTCTAAATTACACAGAAGAAGTTTTCTCTTTTATAGGCTAAAGGAGGGGCAAGCAGAGATAAGCAGAATCTTTGGAGAGGAAGCTGAACAAGGAAGGGAAAATGACCAGCGGGGAAGTAGGGACTGATAGGAAACTGATCTTACTGTGCTAAGCTGATTCCCAGGAGAAGCCAAGAAGGAAGGCACCTTCCGCTTTTTTTGTGCTGCTCGGCGTTGGGGACATGCAGAGTTCAGGGCTGGAAGGAAAGATAGAAGAAGGCTGACTAAAGTTTGCTCAAGGCCAAGCAGAGGGTGAGCACGGGGCAATTGAGAATACTTGCTCATTTGGTTAATACCACGTGTCCTTGATGTATAACCATTTATCTCTTGGTGTTGAGTTCCTCTTACATATCTGGCACCAAGTTTGGTGTGGGAACATCAGGGTAGCCAAGCCTGAATTCCTGCTTTTAAAGAGTATATGTGCTTGTGGGCAAATCAGTGCCTTTTCATTAATTTCTCTCAGCCCACACATTCAAGAGGGTTGAAATCTTCTAGTTGCAGATCTTGACCTAAAACATCACTACAAGTGACTTAGTAAGGAAGTGATCCCAGTAAGAAAAATCAATAAGAGAACAGGGGAAGCAGGATAAGAAAAGAGAAGCAGCTAAGCAAAGGTATGATTGCAGATACAATCCTGGACTATCCAATCCTGCAGAGAGTTCTGCAACTTAATAGATTACATGCCAGTGTTTGTCCTGTCTTGATGCAAAGATGCTGGGCTTTTGAACTCTCATGGTAGTTGTTCTAAGCTTCCTCGGGATGAGGTGTAAACTGCCAGGCGCTTCTGCTTTCTGTAGGGTTGAGGAGACTCCAGGACCCAAGGGTAATCATTATCTTAAGGTCCCAGGTGGAAGATGAACAGCAAGCATGTGAAGTTGGGGATGGGGGCCAGGAACTGGGAGGGGTATCAGTAGTGTCTGCTACAAGTTATTAACAACCCTATTTCTAGTTTTCTACATTTTTCTTGTTTAAAAAATATATATATGAAAACTATATATGTATATAAAATTATTAACAAATATAAGACAATTAAGTGAAAGTATTTGGCTCAACCAGCTTGTGCTCATGGGTTTTTTTTTTCATTTCAGTCAACAGTGCTAGCTAGCCTTTTCTCTTTAAGTTCTCATTATTTTTTAATATGTTTTCTAAGATGTTATTTCTTTTTATTTAAGTCATTCTGTGTATAATTAATAGTTGCATAGTACTGAAAGATGTTTGATAGTAAACTATTTTTTAGCTAGCTTAATCCCTGGATCATTATCCACTTTGGAAGTTTGCATGGACGTTAATTGTACCTAGGGTCTTTAAAATTTTTAATGATGTATATTGGTATGGCTCTATTTTCATACATTTGTCTGTAGTTGGGCTGTCTTTCATTATGAAAACACATAGCTTTCAGCTTCTGGAAATCTCAAATTATGCCATCTCTCTATTTTCTCTCTCCTTTCTTCCCATGACATCTGTGTTTTGGATTTAGAAGTTGGGAGCAGATATTTTAGTTTTCTTACTTCTTTGGCCTTTTCTCCCCCCAACATTTGTGTTATTACATTCAGACATACTTACTGAACTTTATTTTCCAACCTTTCTGTTGAACTTTCATGTCACCTATCAACATCTGAGGCCATTTTTTTGTTGTTAATTTGGATGTTTCTTTTGGTTTTTTTGTTTGTTTCTTTGTTAAAATACAACATTCTGTTATTTCACATTTATAATAATTTTCCTCATATCCCTTAAGATCTGCATGGTCATTATAAGAGGCTCTGATCTTTATCATTACGTGTATGTTCTGCTGTCTTTCTTTGATATTAGAAACTGTCTTTAATGCTTGTTTTGGTCAGATGTGAGGCTCTAAAATGATAGTCAGGCCTATTGACCCATTCATGTTGTCCCATGGACCATCTTCATTTATTTTCATTGCTGCAAGAAATACTCCTTTTTATTGTTGATGGACTTCTACTTTTTTGTTCCAGGTTTGGTATATTATGAAAAATATTGTTTAAAATATTATATATGCTTTTGTTGCACATTTATGCTCATTTCTACTGAGGATAAACATAGGAATGTACTATCGTTTCAGTGTAGTGGATAATGATGAAGAGTCCGAAATTGGTTGTACTTACGTACACTCCCACCAGCCAAATATAAATTGTAGTTGCTTCACATCCTCAAGGAATGGGTATTTTAAGACTAATTTTAACCATTCTGGCTAGCTTAAAGTGGTACCTCAACACACTTTTAATTTACAGTTTCCTTATGACTACTGATGTTGAGGACTTCATCATATGTTTATAGACCATTTGGATAGAGTGTTTTTGAAAGTACCTGTTCATGTCCCTTGACTTTTTCTACTAGTCTGTATTTTCCTTAATAACTTACAGATCTTTATATAGTTAGATATAAACCTTTGTGGGTTATATATTTTGCAAATACCTTTTCTTCTATTGTGAATTTCCTTTTCAATCTCTTAATGGAGTCTTTTAATGAAATTAAATTCTTAACTTTTTATGTAGTTTAGTTTACCAACCTTTCTGTATTGTGTAGTTATCCCATACTCTGAGGTCCTTAAGAATATCTATGTAATTTCTAGAAAAATGTGTAGTCCAATGTCTCATATTTAGATCTAAAATCTACCTAGAATTGATATCCATATGTGGTATAAGAGTTAAGAAGTCATTACACTAAGGCCATTACATTCAAGGCCAAGATGATAGCAGCTTGGACCAGAGTGTTGTCAGTGAGTGTGGTGAAAAGTGCTTGATTTATGGTTAATTTTTTAAAATAGAGCTTTACTGACTAGTATTAGAGGTATAAGGAAAACAGAGGACACGGACAACACTCTAGTTTTTGGCCTGTGCAATGGCAACTAAAGGTGGGCATTGACTGAGAGAAGACTGCAAGAACTGGTTTTGAGGGAAGATATTAGGTGCTCACCTTTGGACCTGTAATTCAAGGTCCCTATTAAACATCAATTTGGTCCTTCTCAATATAATGCACAGAACTGTGAATTCATTATTATTTCTATACTATGTCAACTTTTTTTCACTAAATTTAACAGTTATAAAATACTGGGGTAAACATTGCTTCTATAACAGGAGTATATTCCAATGCCCAATGTGGAATAATGTTTAGTCTTGAAAATAGAAAATCAAGGATTATTTAATTTAGCAAAATGTCATTAGTTCATACATGATTATTCTTATTTTGAAACACACAAGTCTTTGTATTAGTTTCCTAGGCCTGTCATAACAAGTACTACATACTGGGTGGCTTAAGACAGAATAAATTAATTGTCCCACAGTTCTGGAAGCCAGAAGTTTGAAATCAAGGTTTCATTAAGATCATGCTCTCTCTGCAATCAGTAAGGGAGAATCCTTCCTTCCCTCTTCTCTTCTGGTGCTTGCCAGCAAAACTTGGTGTTCCTTGACTTACAGGTGTAGCACTTCAGTCTCTACCTCCATGGTCATATGGCCATCTTCTCCTATTTGTTCACAGTGAACACAGTGAATTCTTATAAAGATAGCGGTCATACTGGATTAAGGCCCACCCTACTCCAGTATGACCACATCTTAACTGATTACATCTAAAAAGACCCTATTCCAAGTAAGGTCACATTCTGAGGTATTGGGAGTTAGAACTCCAGTATATTTTTTGGGGGGATGAGGTTCAACCCATAGTAGTCATTGAGGTTATAAAATTATCATTGAGTATGTTTATTAACAAGTTTACTAGCTTTGTTTTTCCTTCCAGGCATGTCACTCAGACAATTCCTTTAGTTAATCCTACACATGAAACCTTAGAATTGCAAGCCACAAACACTAATCCTGGAAATTTCATCCTGGATGTTAACAGATCACCAGTAAGTATATTTTAGAAAGCCAAGTAACCCACCACGACTAGAGCATTTTCCAATTCTGATTTGGGGACACTACAGAGTATGGTCATTTTAATTATTAATAAGGTTTCAAATACCTAAAATTAATAAATAGAATTTAAATACATGGGTATGTATCTCCCCCATTTTATTTTATAAAAAGTGTATTCATATAAATTTTTGAAATTATATATCCTAGAGTCATGCTCATTATCACTGAATTCTAAATAAGCTCATTGTGCTTTATTTATGACCATTTTAATAATCAGTTTTTGCAATCCTTTCATAATAATATGATTTTGACTCAACAGTCATTCTATGTGTCCAGGGTCCCAGGGTCCCTACCATCCCTCCCTGGTTTCCCGACAGTGCAGATAGCTCTGCCCTTCTCTCTTCCCTTCTCTGCCCCATTTTCTCATTCCTTGGCTCCTGGCAGAGACTAGAGCTAGTCAGTGGGCCTCAGTCACTTTCTCCTCCCACAAGTAACAAAACAAGATCTGAAGGCTTAGCATCAGTACGTATGTTTCCAAAGCATGTGATAACCAAATATGTACAGTGAGTGCCAAAACCATGCTTTCAAGTAAACTTCAAAGTGATCATTGCAATAGATTATTTTCTATAGAGGACTTCACAGTAAATCATGAGGCCCTACTAAGTAGATATTATTTGTAGTATCTATTAGTATTTTCCATTTAATGATTGTTTAAGAAATCTACAATGTGGTTTATTTATATCTTAATGTGTGTCTCTTCTCAATCACTCGTTGCCAACTAATTATACATGATATGAGATTAGAGCTTAACTACCATGCTGTCAGATTAGATATCATTAGGTATTATATTACTAAAATTGGTACATATATAGTTTAATTTTAGAATAATTTTTAAATGTATACACATGCTTGTATTACTTAACACTGTATTTTCTGTAAAGTAAATGGAATGTGGTGTTCAGGATATAGTTTATAAGTAACTGAAATTCTTCATTAGAAATGGTGTTTTCATATCCTTTGTATCACTACTTTTACAGAAGAATGTATACTGTGGTCCAAGGGAAAAGAAACGCAGTATATTGCAGATGCCCCCTTACATTACATAATGAAGAATATGGACTCTGCTTTTAGCATCTCAACCATGGTTATCTTTTATGCATTTATCAACTAGTATTGAACACTGAATGTGCAGTTAACTTTAATATTAGGGAACAACTCAAAAATAAACTTATAGATGAGAAAAATACTATTATATATCACAGAACAAATAGCACCCATTAATTATAAATGGAAAGAATATATGTGTGTACACATGTATATGTGTACATAACTTTATGCTTGGCTTTGTTGCATTGTATTCATGTTTATGTAAGTACGGATGTTAAAATATAGATAATTACTCATAAATGCTTCAGTAAGTAAGTATAGATTGATTATCAAGGCAAATAATGATATAAAAAACTTCCTTCCTTCCAACTATACATTGTTAAAATTTTAAAGTTAAAAGAAAAATACAATATACAAACTTATACCTTCTACCTTGCTTATTATAGTAATGATTTGCAACATTTGTCTTCTCTCTTTTTTTTCTTACATTTGTTATTGTTCCATTTGAATGTAAGTTGTAAGCATCATGATATTTCAACACTAAATCCTTCAGATTATATTTTTAAGAGAATATTAATCTCCCACATTATCTCGTATCCTGTCCAAATTGAAGTTTACTCATCTGTCCCAGGGTTAAGTTTCCCTCTTGAACTAGGATCCAGTTTAAGCTCACACATTGAAATTGACTATCATGATGATGCTTGTAATTAAATGTTTTTAAGATTCAGTTGGTCCTACATTTAATATATTAAATAGATATATATCATTACACTAAACCAGGAGGTTTGCTGCAGTGAAATTCCAACCAATGCTGTTTATCTTTCCTTGAAACCATGGGAGATACCTTTTACAGTAAATTTCAGTGAATTTTAGGTGGAAATAAAGGAATTTTATTGAGTTACTGATTTGTTGTATACATACCTCAGCCTTTACCACATGCCTCTGACATATATTTATAGAAAAGGAATTTGAGGCCAGAGAGGCTAAAATACTTAAACCACATTGTTAGTAAGTGGAAGAACAAGAAATAAAATTCCAGTTAATGTAGTATTATATAGTTTGCCCAATGAAACAGATAATTTCCTTCATATATATATGTCTGTGTGTGTATATATATATATATACACATGTATATACAGAAAAAATATTTTTCATATACTAAATTGAGTGTATGAATTGCAACTTTTCTTTTTCATTTTTTTGCTAAGGACATTAAATTAGTTTACACTCCTTAAGCATGCATAACTGATAATCTTGAAACATTCAAGGTATCAGAGGGAGACCAGCCTGAGATAAAACGTATTTGCAATAGTTATCTGGCAAAATACATTAGTGAAAACATAATTGACTTTTAAGACATCTGCCACTTGTTCTATTATTCTACAAGTGTTTATATTAAATATCATATTATTCACAATGCATCATTTTGGTTACATAAGATGCTCAGGCCCTCAATATATTGTTATGGAGTTGCTGGCTTCTTTCCCAGTCTCTAAAGAGGTAACTCAAGTCAATACTGTTCATACTCCTCTTATGCCAGCCGGTCACACCTTGAGTATATGTGATAGGACAAAAAGGAAACCCTCATCATCCACTAAAGAAGCATATCGTGCACTTATGCTCAGAATCAGTTCCTTTCTTTTTATATCACCAGGGCTACAAGTTAGATTCCCAGTGGTTTGATATGTATCTTGGGATGGACAATATAATATGGGTTCTTAAATAAAATGCATATTTCTATTATTGGAGGTTCTAACTCAGCTTTAAAAATTAATCCTGATTTCCTTTTATAGAGTAACTCCATGTGGTTATTGTCTAGGGAAGAACATGGCATTAGCACTGCTAAACACTGTTTACCATGGGCTGTTTTTACCAATATTCACCAAGCAGGCACAGAGAATGGATAATGTGTACAAGGCCACACATTAATCCTAAGAATATCAACCTGGCACATACTTAGCACACAAAGATGCTTACTCAAAGGAAAGTATTGATTTTTGTTACTCTTTTTCTCCCTTCTGAATTTACACAGCTGATCTTACCTCCTTCCTCCACCAAAGAGGTTTTTGTCCACTTTTTTCCTTCTGCTCTTGGAAGAACTGGTCATCAAGCTTCTATCATCTTCCACTGTGCTCAGGTATGATAGTGTGTTGTTGGCCCAAATCATATTAATTAAATTTCAAAGAAACAAGTAAATAAGCCTTTATAATAAGATTTACAACAAAAATATAAAATTTACAATAAATAAGTAAGCCTAATTCATCTAGTTCACATCTTTTGCATGTAAAACAAGTTCATTGTAAATTATTAATTAAATGAAATTTTTGAAATATACATTGTGCAGACATCTAAACAAGGCATTTTTAAACCCATAGATTGCTTGAATTAAAGAGAATATGCACTCAGGTTTAAAGCATAGTTATGTTAATGTAAATGCCAAATTGCTGGCATGTATGTTAATTTTCTGACTTGGGTTTTACTACTGAAATTTCCGTGAACTTAAGTATACAATTCTGGAAAATGTGATCCTGCAGATACTGTGTTATTTTTTCATTCTGTTTCATCTGTATGGTGTTCCTAAGTAATAATAATTTTTTTAAACCATAACAGTTAATCATTTTTTAAGCATCTCTACACTTGCTACATGCCATTCTAAGAATTATCTCAATCCAGAGTTCTATAGTGGAAGTATAATCAACCTCATATTATAGATCAGGAAACAGACACAGAAAAATTAAGATCAGGCAAGTAGTAAGAGGATGAACCCAGACCTAAACCCAGGCTTCAGTTCATCTTCATGACTGTTTTTATTGCTACCCACAAATTGCCAAGCAATTATAATGCTTTTACTGCCAATTAATATTTTACATAACTGTGTACATTTATTATCATTTTTTTTTACTTTTCCAGAATGGTGAAAGTAAAAGGAGGTAGGTACTGTAAATCCTAGGGAACCCCAAAGAAATTTCAAAGTCCTGCCATCTTAGAGGAAGTGGAATCAAATATAATGTAGGGGTCCATGTCACTTCAGTGGGTGACTGAAGTGTCCTCTTTCCAAAAATGTGTGGTTTACTTTTAGAAAAAAAAATTTGAGGCTATTAAGTTTCCTACATGATTACTGACTTACACGTGGCCTCAAGCAGTACTATGGAAATATGCTTGACTCTCAAAAATATTAAAGAAAACAAACAGTAATGTTCATACAGATGGAATTTTATAATCTTTTATAAAAATAATTTGAACAAGTCAGATCTTTTAAATCATTGCTTCATAGCAGAGTTGGCCCCTTCATAATCATTGGAAACAATTTAGTTGCTTGCCTTTCTGAAGAAAATTATATCAAACTCAAGGATAGTCTGGCACAGCAGCAGGATAATTATCAGTTATACATCCTAATGGCTTTAGAAAATCCTGGCACAGATGTTGAAAGAAAAACTTTTTATGAAACACAAATGACCGTGAACAAGTAAGTCATCTACACAAACCTTTTGGAAATCATTTTAACACTGGTGCTTGATATCAGGCATTCTGAGCATCTCCTTCCATGTCGTAGCAAATCTCCAAGGATTCATCTGTGGTTCGACTCAAATCAATAATTCATCCTTTCAGCTGCAGATCCAGAGCCCTTCAACCTTTTCAGGGTATTGCCCTCACCGCTGTGGTTTTTCTTGCCTTTCGTTTTTCTTTTTCTGCCTTTCTTTTTTCTTTCTTTTTCATCCCTGAATCGTTCAGATCTTCCATTTTTATTTAATTCATCCAGTCGACATCTTTGCAAGCAAAACCAGTTCATCATAAAGTATTAATTGAATGAACTTTTGGAAATACAATATACACTGTGTATGTGTAGGCATGTAAAGAAGTATTTTCATAAATAAAGTTACAGGGTTTACTTTTCTAAGTCTAAGTATTTGTAATAACTCTAAACCATTAAGAGAAAACTCATAGATTTCTCTTTGTTGATTTCAATGACAAATATATTTGAACTGACACACGCAACTGAGTAGCTGATCAATCTAACATCTGGTAGTGGCAGTTCTTATAGAATAAGTTTTAGCAGTTTCTGATGGTTACTCTTTGCTGAACTTAAGGAAATGGCTATAAATTATTATTTGTTTCATTTTTTTCTAGTTTGGATCCACGTGAAGAGTCCTGCATTGCGAAAATCTAACTATAGGCTAAAATTGTACAGATTCTGAATCCCGAGATTAATTTGATTAGGACATCCCAAGTGCAGATACCACGAATTCACATTACGCTGCCAGAGTCTCTAAATGAGGTTGGGTTGCTGGGTAACAGTATAAGGGGAACAGTAGCAAGCAGCCAGTGTGGGGGTCAGGCCTTCTCTTTGGTACCAAACATTATGTGCTGAGCTTTTTCTTCCTTGGTTTTTCTCTTTCCTTTTCCTTTTCAAATAGTTTCCATTATTTATTTCATTCATATTTTATTGTGTGAACCAGTGCATCTAAAGGTCAGAATAGCCAAAAAGAAGGAAGAAGACAAAGTGAGAGTGGTTCTATTACCCAGCATGAGTCTCTGATCCTTGCCGCCTGTGTCTGTGGAAAACTGTTGATTCTCAGCAAGCTCTAATGCTCTTCATCTTTGCTCATTTAGTCTCTTTTACCTCCACTTGTATATCTTTCAGAAACATGGGAATGGATCTTGAAAGGTTTTGTTTTGTATCCTTTCAAAGAAGTTTGAGATAAGGACAGGCCAAAAGTTACTTTTTTTAAATGTACATGTTCATTGGGATACTTTAAAATTTCCCTCTCTGAACCCAAGAGGACAATGTAAGCAATCCTAGGGCAATTGTTGGATACCAGTGTTCAATAATGGTGGGATGTGGTTTAACTTAGAAGCTCCAGGGTTCCAGACAACTTGTTGCAATACAAAAACATGACCATCTTGTTTTTCTGGTTTGATTCATTCCCTCATTCCTGTGATTTAGGATTTATTTTATTAAATGGCCAAAAGTAAGTAATTTACATAAAGCAGCTGTCAATTTAATTGAACCCTTATGTTTGACTCCAGGCCTATGTAATCAAGTTAAGACATCACTGAAATAAAGTGAATTTATGCTAGTAGAATCTCTAGAAGTAATATAGCCATTTTAAGATAAAATGCAGGTAAAACTTGCTTTAAATCCTCCCTACTCAGAGAGAGCATTTTATGGATTTCCTGTCACCACCTATCCTACTTTGAAACTATCTTAAAACAAGTTTCTCTCTTTGTATCAGAATTTAGGGCAGGAAACATCTGTAGTTTGAAACATTATCAACTGGGTCCTTGTTCATTGGTTTTTATTTTTAAAAATGACTTGTTTAATTTGTAGCATTTGCAAAGTGTTCAGGGCAGAGTGAGTCACAGAATATAATCTCAGAGGACTTTTCTTCTACATGAATTCAAAGGGAACCACTTCAGACAGCTGTGCAGGCTTATGAAACTCAGATAAGAAAAATGACCACCGTCAGTCTCCTTCATATAATTTTTGAGCCATTCTTCCATATTACATAGTCTGTCTCAGATGAGGGGGATAAATAATGTGGCATACAGCATTTTAATGGGACTTCCATCTGTACCTCACCTTTTTTGTCTTCATGTGATAACTCTCTGAATTTCACTTGAAATTCACCCTCAAATTTTGGAAACTTCATGCAGTATTTAGTACCCAATTTGTTAGACAAACTGATTTTTAAAACACTTTGAGCAGAAAATGCATTAAGATTCTCTGTTGTGTTTCCAATAACCTGGTGTGCATTGCAGATGTTTAATATTTGATTACTGGTCTTTTGCCCTCTTTTTTTTTTCAATGTAAAGACACATTGATTTTTCAATAAGATCAAAGGGAATTTGGAAAATAAAGGAAAGATAAAAGAATGCATGTTAAATATTAATAGGAGTTTTCTAATTTGACAAAATTTTTATGTGTGTTACATTTATTAACTGTTGCAAATAAAATGTATGCAATTAGAGCATATATGTTATGAATGTTTATCTTTAAACAGTTTAAAGAATGGAAATTCTGCCTGTCTGGAGTGGGATTATTCCCCCAACCTCTCAATATAGAAAGAGTAACCACATACCTCCATCTCCGTACATCTATCATTGTATCTTTCCAAAACCCTACCCAGGAAGATGTCTTAGTCAATATCATACTAACAAGTAAGTTATTTTTCTTATACATTACATACGTTATTTTGTAACCATTAACCAAACTTGTTTTATCATGGAATCAAAGCATTTTAGAGGTAGAGGACATTTTAGAGATAACACTAGTTCAACAGCATCATTTTATAAAAGAGAGAACATAAGGTGTGAGAGATGTAGTATCTTGGCTGAAATCATAGTCTGTAAATGGTGGACCCAGAATCAGAAATTGGAAATCTGTGTACCAAGTCATGTTCTTCCAATTTTATCTGTAAAGCCAAATATGTAAATTAGTAGATTTTTAAAATTCTCATGTTATTTAAATATGTGAATGCAAATTCCTTAAAGTTTATAGATATTCAAGTGTTATGACTGTTTAATTTCCCTCTTTTCTTTATAAATATCACAGTTGGATTAAATTTATCTCTAACAAAGCTTGTTTCTTTTTTCATGTCATATTGAGGATGCATGTTTTTAATTAGATTGTGTGTTATTTTTATCACTTTTTATTTAATGACCAAATGTGGGACTGAAATAGAAATAAGCTCATGGGTTTTCTGAAACTATTACTATTACTACTATTACTACTACTAAATTACTACTACTACTACTACTACTACTACCACTACTATTACTATGATCCATTTTTAGGGATAAAAAGAATGCACATGTTAAGGTTTTTGCTATAAATAACGAACTTACTCTCCAAAATGTTTGTACTATTGCAGTTCATGCTGCCATCAGAAGTATATAACAGACATTACCTGCTTTCCTGTACCTCATAAGCCCTAACTAGTACCATTATTCTTAATCTCCATCAGTGTGATTGGGGGGAAATTGTATTTTATCATCATTGCAAGTTCACTATTTTTTGAATAATGCTGAAGCGGAACACTATCATTTATTTACCTGTTGGCGTTTTCATCTTTGCTGATCATCTCTTCATGCTTTTGGCATGAAATAATTATGAAAGACTAGGAACATAATGTCATCTAACGTAAAATTCCCTTATGAATACTTCGGCTGTGATGAGAAGGAGAGACATAGCAGTACTTAGTAAAAGTTGATTGCAGGCTCAGGGAAGTCAGCATTTTAATACGGAACCGACTTGAGCATATGTAGAAGCAGAGGGAAGAAGCCAGTGAAGGAGGAAGGGGTGGCGCTATGGCTGAGGCTCTGGGAGGACTGAGATCAGAGTCGGGGTAGAGGAAGAGCCATAAACATGAGGGGCATTTCTACCATTGGGCAGGTGGAGTAAGATAAAGCAAATGTGAATGTAGATGAATTGTTAGGTGGTAGAGGGGCTTTGGAATTAAGAACAGTAAGTTTACATTTTCATCTGCTGAGGAAAGGAGATATAGTAGGAGATCTGAAAAGTGGTATACCGGTTTGAAGAAACTGCTGGTGCAAAACGAAGATGGAGCTGCAAAATTGAAACATAAACGATACTGTATTTGGCTGGGACTGGAAACCAAAAATTTAGATAGGTACCAGGAAAATATGTGTCTGTGCAATTTATACCAGTTGTAGGGCTCAGAAGTACACAAGGATGACAAGTGGGTCTGTCCAGGGAAGGGAATTTTCAAGGCAGTTGTAGTCAAACCACTTGATAACTCTGAGAGTGTTGTAAAAAACAATATTGGATAAAGATTTTCACATTACAAATAAATTGTGAAATAATTTGTGGCTTCTTAATTTAGTTGTTCTAAAATTCTTTCTGCCATACAACAGGAAAAAATAGTAAGTTGGACAAAGATTTGTTAGCCTTGTAGTTGAAAATGCTCTTTTAAGTAAAGTAACTCTTTGGTTAAATGTTCAGACTGTCAGGTTCTCCCACTTTTTCCTTCAACCCGAGGAGACAAGAGATAAAGAAAGATATTGGCCTCATATCTTTCTTCCACTTTCTCCTTTTACTTTATGCAAAGATTCTTCCTTTCCTTTTCTTGGTGAGGAAGTCTCTGTGTGTCAAAACCTCCTCCTTTCTTTTGTGGATTCTTCTTTTCTACCACCATGCACATGTCTTCTTGTATTCATACTCCTTATGAGTTGCGACTAGACCTCATAATTTGGCCTGAATTATTGAAGGGCCACAAGGACACATGCCTGACAAGAAGAATAAAAATGTTCAACATATATGCCAAATGTACTCTTTAAAAATGGTGCTAAATTAGTACTGTCTTATTGAAATATTTATTTGTAAATGTCTGGAAATTATTTCATGATATAACTAATCCCTTGCTGTCTTTCAAAAGAAGATGTATATGTTCCTGCAGGTGCTGTGGCACTAACGGAGATCCCTTAGGGAAGTTTATTAGAAGACTAAATAATGTAGCACCAAGACGGTGACTGATGTGTGAGAGAGATCTCACAGTACACATTTCAGATCCTGCATTCCTTGTTTCTCTTTCAATAGGTAGACAGATGATAGAACTGAGAGAGAGAGAGAGAGAGAGAGAGAGAGAGAGAGAGAGAGAAATACCTTTTAAAAATCATTATTTTGCCTAGAAAGCAACACAAACTCATTCGACCTTTTATATTGCCCAATTTAATGTCTTTCCTTCTGCTGATGTCTTGGCTCTTTCCATTTCATCACTCCTCTCAAAAACATTGCCCTTTGACATTCAAAGACTATTTTAATTCCATTTAATTAAATTTTAGTTCTTTAATTCTATTGTGTGTCTCAAGTTCTTTCAATTGAACATTATGCAAGGTAAGGTATTGAAAAGGTTATTTTTCAGGGGTTTATGCATATCTTAATCCATGCCAGCTTCTAAAGGTGAATGAGATAGGGTGGCTCAAGAGGAGCTGGCCTGAACACCAGGAGAATAGCAGAGACGTCTCCCAAGCAGACCATTAATGAGTCCCATGAGGAGCAGGATGCTACCAAAAAGCTTTCAAATAGCTGAGGAAGCTAGGATTTGTTATACACCCACTATGGTCCACAGTTGAGCTCTATAAACGTGACTGCGCTCAATCATAAAAAAAAAAAAAAAAAAAGCTCTTAGGCTTTTCAGGTGTGGAACCTGAGGCTTAGAGATTTCTCAAAGCTATTGTAATGAGTAAGTGATGCAGCAGGGGCTTGGACCTGTCTAGCTGTCTTCTCCAAGACCCCTTGTCATTCTGAACTGTGTGCTTACAGATGATGCTTCTAAAGCCCCATACTGATGAGGCTCTAAACAATGACTCCTCTGTTTGCTTCCTCCACTCAGATTTCAGGGAAAGACGCCTGCCTCCATCCTATCCAAGCACCTCAAGACATGCCCCTGGCTGCACTCCTTACACATTTTCTCAGCTCTTGGGTGTCTCCTTTCTCTTTTTAATTCTGCCATCAGACCCGGGCTTAGGCTGATCCATACATGCTTGGATTTCTCATCTTGGTCTCCTTGTTCAGCCTGGACACGTACCCTTGCTCAGTGACTGGTATCCATGGACTGCATTCCCACAATTCTTTCTCATCAGTATTCTGTCCTCCACCCCTGCCCCCTGCTCTCAGGTTTCCACCCTGCTAGCTGGAATAGAGGTTGAAAAGGAAAGGTAGCCAGGAATGGAAAGCAAGGATCTGAATTAAAACATTAGAAATTAAGACCTGATGTACACATTAAGAATTTAAGGGCACATCTCTATTGGATGTATGTGTGTGCGCTGGCTCATATAACCATATTCCAAACCTGCGAATTTGTGTGCTTGTTAATGGCAGGGATGACATGAACTCATAGCTTTATTCCTACCTTAATGAGTATTTCAGTGTTGGCATATATGTTGATAAAGCAGGAGTTGAATATTTAGTCAGTGACTATTGAGTATCTATTTGGTGCTGAAAACTGTCATATGCACATTTCAGAACTCCTTTATATTTGGAATGCACATACATATATATACATATTGTATTTTGATTTTGTGTGGTATTCTACTTCTGAAATATCACTGTGGATTATATACCTAAAAGTTGCATAAATGAATGAAGCAGTAATCAATGCATGCAAAGTACCTGCTTTGATTACTATTCTACTAAAGCAACTGTAGTCTTGAGATTATTTACTCCTCTTACTTAATTGAAATTTAAATCCAATATTAGTGATTTGATTCAGATGTTTAAATATTAGTGGATTCTTTTCCATAAGGTTTCCAGTAATTTTATGTAACAGCAAAACAAAATGGCACTAGGGATAAAGGTATGCATACCAATTAACATAATGTATGAGTTTTACAAATATCAGCTTCCATTTTGAGGGTTGATAAATGTAAACAGAATACTGTGTTGAGTTGTTGTTGACTCAGGGTTAATTTTGACCAGAGTGTTTACCAGCACTAAGGTAATAAAACACACAACATAGCGTATTTATGGCATGTTAATCATATGGGACACAAAGAGGCAAAAATACTTTATTTCACATGGTAGAATTTGTTTATGAAATTCTTGTCCCTGGAGGCCCTCTGAATCTTATCTGACGTGCCTCTAGAGTTGAATAAATATTCATGTTAAATATGTAGTGATCACTGTAAATTGCCAATCAGGGTGTGCAAAGCTTTATACATAAAAAGAGAGATAAATAGATATAAGAACTCCCACATTCTCAAAATCTCTCCTAAATTCAGACTATCAATTATTTAAATATTTGAATCAGTAAATAAACAGTACTGGGAGATTTGAGATTGGCGGGCAGGAAAGTTAAAGTACCAAATACAAAGCAGTCTCTTTATACCTTAGTGTAATTGGATTGTCTTTGTTTCGCTCATAACAAATAAGTCACATTTTTGTACTGTGGAAAGGTAGGTGTAAAATTATTGTCATAGCCACTTTTCAGACAAGTAATCTGAGACTCACCTTGCTTACAAATACTTTAATTATTTTTAAATCCTGTTTGGGTGTCCTAATCTTTGGGACTCTTTTTTTTCTTGTTTAATAGCTCTCAGAATTCAGTAAACAACAATTATAGGAACTCATCAAAATTTAGATTCCCAGGTCCACTCTCAGTTGATCTTCTTCATTATGTTTGGGGCAAAACCCTACCATC